GAACTGCTGTAGAACCATACGAAAATATGTATACTGTGGAAGATTCTTGATGTTCAATTTTTAAATACACCAAGCCCTATATGCAAAAATTTAATCGCGAAATAAGAAGAATGTATGGATATTTTGACCGGCTAACCCGTTGTGAAATACTTCCTATGTGTATTTTAAAAAATTCCGTGATTTTCAGTCGATGAAGTTTTAAACCTTCGTCGACTGAGGGAGTTTAAGTATACGTTGCGCATTCCCAGCCACCACCTTTCTCAACACAGACTGCTAGCCGAAGTAGGATTATGTATGAAGAAGGCTTAGGGTTTTAATACCAAGACATGGCACTAATTGATGATGTCTGATTGTTAGTCTCAGCTGTGTTGGGAGGCGTAGACAGTCTGGTGGGATTCGTCGAGGCGTTGGGAATGAATGGTGGACGATCATTGGTTACAAGACCGAAAATCGGTCACAGGGGAGCCAACATGTTCACCCTTTGTCATTTACGAAGTCTTGAAGAGTTTTCGAACCTTCATCTACTCACTCCTTCTCCTCTTATGGACTTTTGTCTACCTAAATATTACTTTTTCCATCCATCTTTTGTTTGCATGCTGGTGTGCAGTGTATCAACTTCAGCTGATGCATTTCTGTGTGAGGTCCTACGTTGATTTGTCTTTCTGCACGGCCTAAGGTCGGTACACAGTCATCTCACACCTGAAACCCTTAAGAACACTGAAAGGAAAATTGTGAAGTACTCAGAAATGCTCTCGGAAGAAACCCTGTATTACTGGCAACAATACTTGGATGTACTGAGGCTAATCAATATAGCAACAGTATTAGAATGGAAAGATTCATTTCTTTGAGTTGTGATGATCTGCTAGGTCAATTTTTAAATCGGATTTACAATATGCTGTAATGAAGTGATTGGGGTTAGTCACGAATCTTCAGGATAAGTGGTTTAATGTTGTTGCTTGTATTACTCTGTCGTTGAGTGGTTTGAATTGATCGATCTGTATTGGCGTATGGCCTCCTACGTGGGTGCCTCGATATTGGCCATGTTTTAATCATATATTAATGATAAATAGTGGCTAGCAGTGGAATCCAGGACGCGTATTTCGTTCTATGTGGATATTCCAAGCAACAACATTAAAACCATACCCGTCATACAAGAAGTGGCTGTCGTGGCTCGGTGGTCTAGTGGATAGCTCTATGGTGTCCGGAGTAGTCTATTCTGAGTTCTAGTTCTAGCAGGGGCGACATTGCTCACTGAGAGGCACGTACATGCAACTAACGGGTCCTAAATAGGACGAAACGCGCGTCTTGGATTCCACTGCTGGTCACTACCCATTATGGCTTGATGTTGTAGAAAGGGGAAATCAGACTTCTGTCAACATGGAATTGACATCAAGTAGCATTTCAGGTAAAAACTTCTGACCATGTTAGGCTAATTGTGATCGGTATATAATGAAGTGGATTTCTGACACCTCGTTAACTTCAGAATTTGTAAGTGTTATGTTTTTGTGACGTCTCAGAAGATGTTTCCTCTATCGGAAACCATTTGAAAGCAATAAGTATTGAAAGAGAGGAGTTTTATGCGATCTATCGGTTAATGTAACCCACTATACACATCACGATAGATCTATACTCCTCATGCAGATTGAAACTGTTTCATTTGGTGATGTTTGATTTTAAACCAACACTGCTAAGACTCTTTCTGTACATATTATATTGTACGTGACAAGTTGGTATCCATGACACGTCTTTTTCTCACGTGAATCGATCACCTGAAAGTAATTACTGCAACTATTCTAAGTGATAACAGAAGTTTATTGCTGTTGCTCACAATGTGATCACTACAGTATCTTGTGCAATTCTTTGTGTGCATGATTCGGTTTTTTATTTACTAAATTTTCAGATGCGATATGAACCATATCCTTACGTCATAGGATATTAAAACTCACGTTTCTTACAGATATGTTTCATTATAAATGTGATCAGTGCATGCTGTGTCGTGTTAGTACGAGATATACTGGCAATGGTATAGACTGTGTGGAATGTGTTTAAGAAATGCAAATTGCTGCTCCAGGATCGGTCTTCAACGGTACCATGGCTAACAATAGAGAGTGTAGTGGTTGGATGTGTTGACCACTTCCCTTACCTGGGAAGTAGGATAAGCCCTGATGGCTCAGTGGCCAGTGAAATCTCTGCAACGGATACAAAAGGCTTGATTGGCTTTCGCCAATATACGCCACCACCTGTGGCGCCGCCGTGATTTCCGTTTGTCTACTAAGGGTCTTGTATACTGCGCAGCAGTCCGGCCTGTTCTACTGTATGGCTATAAAACATGGCCATTGAAGGTGGAAGACATGAGAAGACTTCAGGTGTTTGACCACCGTTGCCTTCGGAGTATAGGCCGCCGTATTCCGTGGTGTCACCATGTGAGTAATGCAGAAGTCAGGAGTAGAGTTTTAGGGAGAAGAGGTAAATCAATAGACGAGGTTATGAACCTTCATCGACTGAGATGGTTGGGACACGTACTACGTATGCCTAGTCACCGATTGCCTCGTCACACAATGTTGGCTGAGGTGGGTCCAGGCTGGAAAAAGGCTCGAGGTGGCCAGACTAAAACATGGCATCAATGTATGAAGTCTCTGACTGTTGGTTTGAGCCATGTGGGGTGATGCAGACTATGTGGTTGGGGTCCTCGGGACAAGAGGAACCAGTGGTTGGAGACTCTAGGTGATATGGCTCAGAACCGATGTGAGTGACGCATATGTATACATACATTATCCTCATCTTAACAACGCTATACCGAATCTCACCATTTTGTCAATCCTCTTTTCTCTCTTTGATTACTTTGTATTTCTTTTGACTGAATTCTCTTGTCTTCATCTTGCGTCTCACTGTCCTTTTACTTGATGTAATGATATGAGGTGTGGCAACTCGGACCGTTATGCAGTAATGCCTGGTCCTAAGTTGATCTGGATGATGAGATGGCTAATTGGTTGGGGGAGATGACTGTCAACCGATCTGCAGCTGTTACGAGTCCCAATCCACCTACCGAGGTTTGGGGGAGCGGAGTAGTATCACTAGTCCTCATACAATAGGTATGGCTCATTACCTACTGCAAAAATGTGCACAGGATTGCTGAGTGCACTCCGATTTCCATTCACTTAAGAAATCATGTTACACAGTAATTCGAGACGTTAACAGATATATCTTAGAGTTCAAACTAGCGACAGTGGTACTGTAGGTATCTGGTGTCTTCTGTTACATAAGTAACAGACGCTCTTTCGAGTATATTTTATGCGAACTTTTGTTTGATCCTTTTACTATTGCTAACCTCTATATTTTCTTTACGCTTTCATGAAATTTTTATATAATTTTTCATGGTATATTCTCCAGTATTCATGTCAACCAAACTTCTCTAACTGATAAGTCCTGTTACTACTTATTTTTCTTAAAGCGATAAGCAGTTGGTGAACTTATCATCTTTTCGTGGTAAAAAAGACATTTCAAAAATAATACTTTGGAATTCCCAAGGATAAAGTGACTTTGTCGACGTAGTTACTTCTGCGTGAAGCGAAGCCATATGGGATCTGTGGATTTTTCTCAACTCTTGGCAGGTCAAAGTATCCGATCAAGCTGTATTCACTAGAAGCCCAATGGGGAATTATTTTAAAGCAGTTTATCCCAGTTTTGAAATCACATCACGTTTTCTCTGCACTAGTGTTGAATATATACGTAATACGGGCCAGACGTTTTAGCTACAAGAGATTCAAGAATTCTGTGTTATGTAATAATTAAGGGATCCAGTACTTTAAAAGCTGTTTGTCTAAGCTATAGCAAATATATTGTCAAGTTACGAAAGCTGTTAACAAGTATGTTTAATTGTTGACTGGCCTCGATGTGAGCAGAAGTTGATCGATGCATGAAAGGTGACTGGATGGAATAGAAGTGAAAGGAGCTGTGACCGCCGCTTCACTCCAACTTTGATCTTTATCCTTTGAAATCTTGGTTTAGTATTTTAGTGCGAAGCTGAACACTCGTGATTAATCACTAAAAATGCTTCTGAATAACCAATGATAATGATGAGTGTTCTTTTTCAATTGGGCCTGACTAAGCCATATGGATGAGTTTGAAGGACACCATAGTAACGAGCGAAATAACCACTTAGGTTTCTTCATTTCAGCTGAAAAGGAAGATTTTAGAGAATAAAGAAGTCTGACTGGTGATTGGAGTTATTGCTAGGGTGGCCTCTAAAGTCACTGAAGCAATATAACGGTCACCCACAATTATATGTACTTCAGAAAGCTTTTTAACTGTTTCCAACGCATGTAACATGGATACTTGTGTTTAAATAGTTGGAGTTGTGTAATATTTCCTGGTAGACAATGGTTACGAATATGTTGTGCAGGTTTACATTCAGATCGGCAGCTACGAAAGAAGATATACGAAAGTTGGTAGATACGATTGTCGGTCTATAGTCGAAGGTCTCTCATTTCTTTCATGCTTCAGAGGTATCGCACAATCATCTGACCAGCAAACCAGTGTAAGGGACTTTCAGATGATGAAATTTAGTTCATTTTCGACAGTTTGATTTCCACTTCCTTCGACAGTTCTACTACTTTACTGTCATATAATCAATATAGCTGTAAATTTTCGGTTTCCCATGGATTTCTCACTAGAATTTAGTCACCGTTTTGCTGAATTAAGCTAATTTTACCTCAGTATCCAGCTTATGCATTATCGTAATTGCATGTAATTTTCACACAAACCACTACTACTGCACCTTTGTTGTGAGTCATCAGGCGAACAGAACAGTGAATAGTCATCGACAGTGCTCAAACTGTATTTCTTCGTCTTCCAGTGGTGTTTTTGGTATATCATAGAAGGAAGCTTTTAAACCATCTTAAGTTATGTAATGTATATTTCAGTTGGTATTGATGCTTGTATATCATGGGTCTAAAATTGCATGTCAACAAAATTATGTGATTAATAACACTACCCTCAGTGAAGCTGGCCAAAAACATTTTATTTGGATAATATTTATAGCTCAGGGTGCTGATGTTTTAAGCAGTTTATTCTCTAAGGTGAAGTTTCACTTAGAAGACGTTCAGATGTCATGTTGTACACCAATGTCAGTGCATCAGAACTTCGAAAGTAAGTGAAGTGGTTGACTGTGCATAAATAGAAATCACGTGCTACTTCGCTTCAGTGAGACCTGATTGATCGCATGGTGTGTGGGGGTATGTCAAATCTGACTAGTTGATATCTTGCCTTTTGGTTTCTCAGAAGTGTGTGGAACTGCATCAGCAACTGACTTCTTTTGTTCGCTTGCAGTATGCTGAGATCACTTCTTTGCGATCAGTTGATTAAAGTGATGAAAGTTATCTTTATCTGGTTGTTGGACTCTTCTGTGTTGTATGTGGTTACTTGAAGTTGATTGGTTGATGTTCTCCAACTGGAATGGTGTGTATTTTGCCACTGGTCACTGCTTAGTTTTTCCTGGGGAGTTGTGCTACAGTATCGACTGATAGAATGAGGAGTTTGGTTTATTTACATGAGGTATCTTTATATAACTGATTGATGATCCCTTATTTGGGTGAACCAGTTACTTATTTGTATTTCTACCGGTTGATTTTTGTCGCTGACTTGTTTCGAATGAGCTGATGTGTAGTGTCTGGGTCGATGTGGTGATTTACTGCTGATATATTTGAGTGCCAGGTCTGCGGAAATTTTCTAATCGGTGTGAAGTTTGCTCACTCAAGTATTTTGTTTTTCAGGATGGATGTGTGGTTGTAGTGGTCACGACATACTGAGATGAGGAAACCTTGTTTATGGCTTAATTTAACATAGTATTCGTTGAATTGTCACTATGTAGTCTTTTAGAAATCCCTGAACAAATCCATATAATGCTGATAAAAATTTTTAAATGTCATGGTATTTTTACGTTTTAGTGGCTTTTTATTATCACAAATATAACAGATATCTGTGATAGAATGAGAAAGCAGCGAATAAAAATTGACAAAGTACAAGAACTAATACAGAAATCTGTTTATCATTCAACCATAGTGAACAAAGTATAGAGTATTATATAGTGCCAATGGTAGGCTAGTTAGGTAAGGTATAGACTGCTCATTTCATTCAAATAGGGGAAAATGTTTGTCAATACCTTGTGGATCGTGTGAAGTCGGAACATGATTCAGGGAAACGGTTGAATACGTGAGTAACCTTGATCGACCAATTAGTGTACATAATATGAAGTGGAATCATTTATGGAGTGAATTAAACCTATCTAAACCCTAATGATAAAAACAGATCAGACTTGGAAAATGTATACCAATACTATTTAAGAAAAATGCATGAATGCGTGGGAAGATATTTTTGGGTTACATTTCTGATTGGCTGTTCAAGGTCATTCCCATTGTCCGGAGTCTAGGTCACAACTATTTATGCATTAGTTACATGAATAGTTTTTAGTTATTGTGAATTAATCTACTTTATTACCACTTCATTTGTCTCTTGTTATTAAAAGAAAAATAACAGAATTACAATGATGTGATTTTATGAAATGTTGTTGATGTATTACTTATCTGATTACTGTTTGAATTATGAGCCATTTGGACAGTTGTATGACTGACTTTATTTATTTCTCTATATTGAGTTAGTAATGACTCATCAACTGAATTACGACGTGGTGCTTCACGTGTTGTCCGGTGGTGACATAATGTTTTTTGGAAATGTTCACCCATTTCTTTGATTGGACATTTCTACAAACAGAAAGATAACACAATTAATATGTTAGTGATGTTAAGGAAATAACAGAAATGCAATATGGATTGTGAAATTAGGGTGATTAGTAAAAGACATGTGCTGCTTGTCGGCATCGAAAGAGTGAAATCTCACTGGTTCACATTTTGCTTTGTAGGCTGTAGACGATTCCGGCGGCATGAATTCATAGTTGGATTCACGAAAACAAACTGAAATACTCAGCATCTAAAAAGGTCTTGTGTGACTGACCCCAGGCAGATATCCCTTGGGCTCTGTAGTCACACACCAACACTTCTTTTTCAGTCACTTGAAGAAGAACTAGCCTTCCTTGATGCTGGAAGCCAATAAGTGTCGACCACCGTCACAACTCTTTCAGCATTCAACTTCCTTCGTATCATTATCAACTTTCAACATTTTTACCTTCTAATCTTGTTTCACATCTATGTTCCTACGTCCTTTTTAATTTATTGCAGTCCTATATTTCTTGATAACGATTTCAGTTTACGAAACTGCATCACTGGCTTCTTGAAACCGCATTCCAAACTGTGTATTGGAGCTATCGATGTCCGAACCCACCATCAAACCAGATAACTAGCTTCGTTAGGCAAAACCCTACATTCCAAACTATGAACGCAGGCTGTTTGTAAAACACGTATACAGAACCAAAGTGCGGTTATCTACTGAGCTTCACCCGGTCAATATGATGAATTTGCGAAATTCACCCTTAGAGCTTTTGGAGATCCATTGGCTAGTTCTTGCAGGTGTAGGTATAGGATTAGGTGCTAAGACTGAAAGTGTACTGTTCGACTAATTGGCACAGTGACGACTAAATAGAATAGTTAAACTCGCCGTTGTGTCTTTGTAATGTGTGCTTGCGTACTTAATGACTGCAGTTTGCATGAAGTGAAGTATTAGTTCTAACGAAAATTTCCTAGCCTCCTACTGTAAGTCTAACGTTCAGATACGGTTGTTGTTGCAGGTGACATCAGGTGCACAAGTGGATAGAATAAATCAGGCCGGAACGCCTTAAGATGTTGCTTTTGAAATCGCAGCCGATTGAACAGATCATAGCGGTCACCGGCTCCAGCTATATTAAGACAATCATCTTTTTCTGCCCAACACGAAATTGTCTAACATGGCGTCCACCAGGGTCAACTCAGCGGTGGATACAGATAGACCGTGTTGCTATCAGTCACCACTGGAAAGGATCAAGGGAAGATTACTGCTCCTTCGGCAGTGGTCGTGCTTTGTTTCATGCTCACTTATGTCTTCGCCCAAATAAAAGTCGGAAAACAACGACAACAATGGTACTAGTGCCTTCACTGAAGAACTGACTGTACGGTTATCTAAACGGGATATTATCACTTCTCTGTGAGAAGCCTAGAGCCATTTTCAATGCGCGGTAGAAATAGCGTTAACAACTGTAACTGTCCTTGAGAAGGTGGTTGGAAGGGACCAGTGGGTCTCAGAAGCAGCTCCAGAGTTAATGGATGCTGGCGAACACATTCCGGTAGTTTTCGATTACAATGAGGAGTGGAAGTAACTCAAATATAAACTAATGGGAAGTCTTCGCAATAGCTGCGAGCATTGGTAGATAGTGATGGCTAAAGAGAAAGAAAAGGTCGGGGTCATAGGAGACTGTATAACGTTATTCAGAAGTATCAAGGAAACTGGGTCATGAAGGTTAATAGTTAGTGAGAATGATGAGTCTGTGATTCACTCACAGGATAGACGACTAAAGAGATGTGCAAAACAAGTCGAGAAACAACTGGCCTTCAGGTACTTTTTCCTTTCCTGCTACATAGGAGCATTCAGAATAGGAGATTAAGATAGGGCTTCTAACATTTTTCGAAGTTGAGAAAACCGTAGATAACATGAGGTGAGGATGAGTAGCAGGACCAGATAGACTAGTATCGAAGGTATTTATAGATAACAAAACCAAGAAAAGTAGGAGGGTTTCAGACCTGACATTGTTTCTGTAGACTGAATATTAACCCTCGGAAAGATTCTGGAGCATACACTTACCGGTCTCTAACATTAGTTTCCTTTCTCATCCTGAAGGCAGTATTTTACTCATTTGACCAATAGGTCCTGTAGTGGTGTGTCTAACTGAAAAAGATACTGGATAGGTACATCATTCTATCAAGGCTGGAAAACATGTGGGCGTGTAAGAGTCTATGGTGAGTTGTGTACGACGAAGGATGTCCGCCGAAGATGTTCACTCTTGCCATCCTCATGCAACTTTATCACGGAAGTACTAATGAAGGTCTTGCTTTCGTCTTCTACCTTACACGGATTGAACTTGTTACACAAGAATCTTTGGTAGATCTAGAGTACTCCGATGAAACAATTCTGTTAGGGAAGATGTTTGCAAGTTAAAGAGTCTTCTGGAAACCTTGAATGGCAATTTGATAATGTTTAGGAAGCGTTTCTCCTCACCCAGATGCAAATATTTGGCCCAGGACTGCTGTGCTTTGGTACCTTGTCGAACAATAGGGAGTTAAGTGGTTGAGTCCAGCATCCACTTCACCTACCTAGGAAGTCGGGTGAACCCTAGTTGACCAGTGACCGACGAAATCTCGTCACTGATCAAAGATTCATCTGGCTTTCATCAACATACGCCATTTATGGTGCCACTGTGATATCTGACTGTCTGTCAAGAGTTGGTTGTAATTTACCTGCAGTTCCCTCTTTCACGTTGTATGACTGAAACATAGCTATTTAAGCTACAGGACATGAAAAGGCCTAAAGCAATCAGCTACTATAGCCTTTGTATCAAAAACTGTGTGATGGTGTCACCACTTAGGTAATGTAAAGGTCAGGAGTAGGGCTCTTGGCAGAAGAAGAAAGTCAGTTGATGAGGTTTTGAATCTTCACTAATTGAGGTGGCTGGGGTATGTGTTACGCATACCTTACCACTGCCTACCCACATCGTGCAATGTTAGCTGAAGTATGTTCAGACTGGAAAAAGATTGAAGTAAGCCAAATTGAAGCATACCATAATGTTTACAGTAGTGGCGCCGGGTTTAAAAGACTGCAGAGAACAAAGCGCAATGCAGGCATGCTACTGAAGCCCTATGTTCCACTAGGAACCCAAAAGAATAAACGAATAAATAAAATTTGTCGATAAAGTGTTTGGCTGCTGAGTTGACCGTTGTAGGAAAATGTGGACTTCCTAGTTGTGGTAGGCTTGGCTAAGGAAACCGGTTGCTTCATATGGCTCATCATCGGGGTCATCAGCGTACAGGTATCCGCTAATTATCATCATACTGAATTTCTGCATCCTCCCACTTCTCCTCGGTCTCGTTTTACTTTTTTCTACTACTTTTGACTTTTTCATTTACTTTTCTATTTTTTATCTTAGTGGATTCCTGCATGATATGCTAATATGAGGTGTGGCAACTTAGACCGTTAGGCAGTAATTTCAGTTCCTACGTCTGTTCTTTCTCTATCCAGACATTTGTATTACAGTGGTTGAGTATTTATTCCCAGTGTCTAGGAGAAGAAATTGAAACCTAAGGTAGAACAACAGTTCTGCAAACGTATACTGGTGAAGTGTACTTTGTCAGTCATTCCAGCACACCCGACTTTATTTCTAATCCGATCTTGTAAGAACCCAACTATATCGGCATATTTCAAGGGTGTCACGCTGAATGTGATTTTGTGCAAAAGTGTAGTAAAGATGTCACTTAATTCTTCAGTACCAATTCAGGAAAATAACAACAGTATCAGTAAAATTTCTTTTTAGCGGAGGTAGTTCAAATATTTTTGAGTAACTGATGTACTCAGTGTGAAAATTAACTCATGAATCAAAATAATTGTATGCAACATGATTATTTTGGAGAGCAGAACAGCCTACTTTTGCATTTGTACGGAATTTCATCACCCAGATAAAAATCTCCGTGAGCCATACAAGTATCCCGAATAACAGGCCGACTCCTAAGCCAATGAAAGCACTGGACATTTTCGTCAGTGTCAGTTTACTCCTTGACGGCAAATTTGTATGCGAACTTTGTAGGTAGCACGGTACTGATGCATTATAACGTTGTAACCAATACTGTCGCATTTTTTCCAAAGTTTGGTCTTTTTGTAATTTTAAAATACTTTCAGATAGTAAATCTCTTAAACCATTATCTGTTGACGTAAAGAAATGAAGATAGATGTGAATAATCTGATGAATTTTATGAATACACATTATCAATATATACATAAGTGTAATGTATATTTTAATAGTTTGAGGGGTTGAGAAGAACAGTCACTGGTCTCGGAATCCAGATGGTGATTTGCGCATTTATTCTGTTGTGAAGCTTCATATTTGCATAGGATATTAATCTAGACATTTTTAAATTATCAGCAATCGCGTCATTTTTACACCATGGTCAGTATTTTTTCCTCCATCCCCATTTTGAAGGTATTTCGCTGATTGGTTGACGCTTACTTTTACCATGTTAATGTTCTTATTGTTGGACAAGGTTATATACCACGTTTAGGTTTATTTAAAGAATCTTCTCAGAGGTAACAAACTCTTCCATCCAGATTAGCCTTCTCTTTTTTCGTCTGGGGTTGGAGTCGATAGTATTTGGTGTACGAGTAAAATATCATTTAAGTGTGCATACTATATGCCCTCAGGGAAATAACAAGTTCTTGAATCCTTTTCGGAAAGAGAGACATAAAGACACAGAGAGAGATTACTAGTTCTCGATGTTTGGGGTAAGCCAATACAAGATGGAACACCACAAAGTGAATAGTAGTACAGCATGTTTGGTATAACTAGTAAGCGATAGTCAACTCCATTTCTGTCTACTTCTTCCAGTTATGCTGAGAAGAAAAATACAGTTGGTTAAATTTCACTACTTGTATGTATTTTACTGTTCGTAGTTGGCAGATTTTTAATCCTCCAATTTATCGGTGGTTTTGAAAAATATATCTGTCATTCATTCGGGGTTTTATGTTGCGTTTTCAACTATTTAACGTCACTAGATAACCAAATGATATTCACTGAAAGTGTACATTCTTGACCAGATTGTGAATGGGATTTAGAACTTTCACTTCTCAAGAAAGGTGTTTTACTACTATTTAAAACTGCTTGGTGTGATCGCTTATCAGAATAAATAATTGACCTCACTATATACATGTCAGCTGGTTGGAAGCGATCAGCAGGAAGCCCCGGATTTAGGTTTCGTGCTTATTGACACCCGTCAGCAAGACTTATCTGTAACCTCGATTTAACTGAAATTCGAACCTGCGTCATCCAATGTTGCAGTAAGCGACGATGGTGAACCTCCTAGAGTGGGAACCATATTGAAAAATGACCTGCAAACCATAAAACTATTTGCTGTTTAGTGAGTCTTCAGTGACTTCACTATAGATTACAATAAAAATGATTTAATCTAGCATCTTAACTTTTATCGTTAGGAAACGACATTTTCTCTCATACGCGAATGGAAAGCTAATCTACACAGCGGTTCAGAGTATCGGTACTTCAGCATAAGCTAAATTGCATAACTCCTGGAAACATTAAAAACCATCTGAATCTATGTCAATTCGTGGTATGTGTACGTGTTCCCACTGCGGAAACCTGTAACTAAGTTGTAACTAGGTTTTGTTGTCCGCGCACAGAACTAACGGATTCATTCTTTTTCTTACGATGTTGTAACAGATGAAAAATCATGTTTCTTATTAAAAAAAATTGAACGGAGAAACGGCAAAACAATTTGAAATTCGAATGATGTTTGTTTCTAGTCAACCAGATTTTACATTTTGAGTGGGGAGTGATATCAAAAGCTTGTAATTACGACTGAATAACAATGTTTTTGCTATTCCTTGAAATTGCATAAAGTAATTGATTGGAGCACAAGTAGTCAAGTCATACTCTTCTATTTGTTTGCCTATCCGTAACAGTACAATCCATACTTTTTCAAATATGTCTAGTTTTGTCTTGAATAAACAAAAGATTTCACAGGGGAATCTCTAGCTTACCAAGGGAATTATTATGCATAATCTTGTTTCCAACTTCTAAACACAGTATTAGATTAAATCGAAATATTCTTATGATAAAATCAGCATTATTTATACAGTAATTTCGTTGATTGTGTATATGGATCACGTCATATCGAGTAACAGTGAACTACACCAAATAATGGCTAATCATAATACACAATTTTTACTTACTTCCTATCGGTAGTCCAATTCCATATCCACGTGGATCTAATAAACCACCTAATGGGGTTAGTTTACAGTTACGCTGGGCATAGTATTCGTTAAGTGTTGACTCAAGTATCAGAGCATAACCACCTTCAAGAACACGTGCAATGCCTTCTTCTGTTTTGTTAACAAATAAAGATTTATTCTGATTCATAAAGTTCCACATTCTTTGGTAGGTAGGTATATCTGAATGCTTTCAGTTGAAGGAACAGAAAACGTTATTGTTAAAAAATACATGTTTGCGTTGGGGTTAAAATAAAAAGATATTATCATCACTACTAACTATATACACCTTGGTAGTACTTGGCTGTAAAGTACTAGACTGTCAAATCTTTCTATTTGAACGATCAGCTTAGTGTTAGAGTTAGTTTCCCATGCCGAGAGTCATAATTCATCTGAGATACTAAGTTGTCCACAAATTACAAGTCGGAAAACCAAGATCATTCAACTTTATGTATCAGCAAAGAGATGTTACACGCTGTGATGACAAGTGATACCAGTTGTGTTATTCTTTTCCAGCGAAACTCAACAAGACAGTTGGTAACAGCCTGGCGTTTAGACTGATGAGTCTCCATTGGAAGTAAACGTACATCCTGAGCGCTAATTCTCTACACTAGTTAGCTGCATCAATGGAATGAACTATTTACAATTCTGATGAGATTTCAATTTTGAAACATCTTTGCGTTTTCTTGCCTCTAAACAGAGGTTCGATTCGAACGAATAGGTATGAAAAGTTTTCAGGTCGTTAGTGCTTTCATGGTTATCTTATACCTCGAAGTTATTTTCATAACCTTTGCCCAGTGTTTTATTAAATAAATACACTAACTAGGTAACTTATTAGTGATATGGCATATAAGAGAAATATCCGACAATACAGATGAAGCATGAGTATGCATTTCAGTTAGGCATTTAAGTTAAGGTCACATATGCATAGGGAGGAGTAATCGAGTCATGCAGTTGAGGGTGGGAGAACATGTGCCTAAATGGCTTCGAAAACAAATGGAGTGTGAAACAATGATAAACGCTGGTGGGAGACGACTCTCTTCATCTATAGCTAAACATATCATAGAAACAAGTCACAAAGTTAGGGTTCAAACAGCTTTCAAAGTCTTATATAAAAACAGTCAGGGACGTATTCTGAGATTTGTGGAAGCCATACACAAATTTAAACCACCTTTATGTATGCAAAAATAGTTTGTTCTTACACTACACCTACCTTGGTAAACCTTGTTTTATTACCAAGATTAGGATCAACTATGTCACTTCCTGTATGTTCTTATCTTTCTTAATTTTAATTTCCTATTGTGTTAATTGTTGTATTTGTCCCCCAGTGCTCGGTTTAATATATGTTGACTTGACAAGTAAATGTGTGATCAGATTGTTTGAAATGCATTGCGCAAGTACATCACATTGTTTAGATAAACTTCTTCTTCCAACTAATGTTTTTTTGGCTGTATCAATTGTTTATTTGTATTTCTACCCGTCGATTTTTGTTACTTGTTTCGAATAAGCCAATATGTAGTGTGTGGGTCTACGTGGTGTTTTATTTCTGATATATTTGAGTGCCAGGTCTGCTAGAATTTTCTGATCGATGTGATGTTTGTACATAACAGTATTTTGATTTTGTGCCTGTCGAACCTTTGGTTGCGGTTGGTACGGTTTATTGATATGAAAAAATTCACATCATGACTTTTGAAAACTAGGTTTTATTCATACAGGTGTTTTAATACTGGTCTGTTTGATTTCTTTATGTAGTTGATTCCTTAATTATTGCAACTGACGTTTTGTAGATCGCGCTGGTTGCTTCTTCCTTGTCGACTAGGTCTTTTAGCCTGCATATGTTACGATGTGGCGATTTTTTGATCTGTGTGATTCTGCGATATAAAGAGAATGTAGCAATCTGGCTGCCGTTACTGATGTATCCTGTATGCATGAGGGATAATTCCTCCTTAGATAAACATTTGTGGTAGATTTTTTTGTAGATGTTCAAAGGCCTATGTTTATGGAATTCTTTGGTTAGTCATTTGGCTGGAATATTGTAAACAGAAGTTTATCTCCAATCCCTCTGATTCGGTTGTGTTGTACTACAATAACTTTTGATACATTGATGGTGATGTCTAGTATGACACTGAAACATTTGCAGGCTAAAGCCCTGGGTTGGAGAACAACTAAATCTGATATCGATATTCTGAGCTGCAAATATTCAGCGTAAATGCAAATTTATCCATCTAACATTTACGGTTTTCTCATTAATATTCGCGGTAAAAAGCGTGCCTATAGATTTACTGAATGCTGAATAGCGTTTAGTTTGAGAGTTATTTAAAAGTACGACTGCGGGTCCAATCACTCAGTCCTTTTAAGAATAGTCTTCAAGAATAAATTTTTTTCGAAACCAAAAGTTAACGTTTACTGACTTAATTGGGTTTATACAGTGTGATGGTTGAAGGTGAAATGAAAACTTGGACCGCAGCCGGATTCGAACCAGAGACCACCACGTTTCGGGCCCGATTCTGTACCAACTGAGCTATGAGGTCCAAACCCGCTGGTCGCTGGTTCGAATCCGACTGCCGTCCAAATTTTCATCTAACCTTCAATCGTCACTCAGTATCAATACTAGTCTGCCAAACTACTGCTATCTTAGATAGTTAAAATGATATTTAATTGGGTTTGATAAAATTATCAACATCCCAACGACAACGTTTTCCGAAATTAGATGGACAGAATCTTATCCAAGAAGGTACTTATTTCAAAGTTTTAAGTGTTGTGTTTATAAACCAGGCAGGTGTAATCGTATGAATTTCACTACGTAAGTTATAAACTCTTACCTTAAAAAATGAATAAGTTGACCCACCATGTATCGTCCCATATTTAATTTTTGTCTGACGTGCTAAATCTTCTACACTTTCAATATCTGCTTGCATTCTGTCGATTGTCAGGAAGGCGGCTAAATTCGCTGTGTACGATGAAGTCATAATTAAGATAAAAAACCACCATATTCCTCCAATGATACGTGTAGATGTCGCTCGTGGTATTATATCACTACCTTTAGTGGATATAAAAAAAGAATGAAGAAGATTTGAATCAGAGAAAGGTGAAGTGAGATTTCAGGTGACTCAACTATCATTTTTAAACAAAGAATTGCTTAACAGTAAGTGTCTCATAAACTGAGGTGGAATCTTAGATTATTTTGTGTTGACTGAATACAATTTTTAAAGGCAAAAGCTATTTGATATGACAGGGAATTACATGTTCTTATCATGCATTAACCTGGATATATTGAACACAACTTATCACTGGTCTTTCTGGTAAAGTGGAAAGTAAGGTAGTTTAGACTATTGGCTGGATACTTTCCTAAAAGTGTCAGGTTCTATAGACAGTCTGGTGAGCCTCTGATGTATTCTAGCCATGTGACTTGAACGTATTGAATTAAGTTAGCGAAATAGGTAAAGTTGCGTACAGATTTAACCACAAAAGCAAAACTAAACATCTGTTGTATTCTGTTGAGCTTCCATCGGTCCTTCAACCGAAGTTTTTTCATTCTGACAACTCTCTTTAAGTTAACCAAAGATTCTTAACCACTATATTAAAAATAATCCCTTTAAAATCGTTGTCAGTGCATTTCCTGTTCTCTAGACTAATGCAACCAGACCAACTGTTATTTTTATACATTCAGGTTATTTAAATGAGGCTTAGTGAGAACGCTTTAAAAGTCAATGGTCGAAATTGACTAAAGATTGTACTTCAAAAGTACGCTGCACTTATTACCCTGTTTTTCGATACTATATTAAGCTGGTTTCTCTTATGGAGCACAATTCTAAAACCTTTATCCACCTTTTTCACAGCTTTATTTTCGGGTTGACTACGCGAACTGCAGGGTGTAGCAGGCAATAACAGAATGGTAGTGTAATTAGTAAAATTTACCTTTATTATTAGCAATGAACACCGCATTTACTTCGCACTTTAGAGTAAGTTGATACAACCACATTTAGCCTCAAAAATTATAAGTTTTGATCACTCCTTAGGGAATTCTGAAAATGTCACTGGTTATTTTCATCAAAACAATATACATGTTGTTGAATGTCAGGTGTTGCATCATTGTGTCGGAATAAAGGCTGCAAAACTTCTAAAGTATACAGTACTATATTTTTAAACAAACAAGTGTCCTGAATATAGTCATATCAGTCTGTCAGTCATTCCATATGATTATACATAACAGTACGAGTTATCGAACGTTACATCAGTAATTCAGGTTACAAGTTAGCGAGATGAAGAATAGCGAAACAGGAAGAAATGGAATCAAAGTCATTGGAAGTTAAAAGAAAATAAGAAGATAAAGTAGAACAAGTGTTGAAAAGTTATCGACAATTAGAATGAAAATAAGGTATGGGAGCGTCCTCGCCACTGAGGTCGATTTTGAACCGTCATCTATGGTCTCTAATCATCGACTTTGGTTGTCGCACAGACTTCAACCTGGAAGTCTACGTTTTTCTGAATCACTGAGACCAACTGTCAGAGACTTCATGAGCTGATATCAGTTTATAATCTGACAACATTCAACATTTTTTCCGGAAACTTCTTCGGAAAACATTAAAAGTCGAGGTGGACGCTTTTTGATGCTTAGTGCAGATAATTGAACAACTCTTCCATTCCTAAGAAGTCATCGTCTTAAGAACTCATGAATAGTTAACGGTATAAACAATACGTTTTCGTCCCAATAAGTTGAAAACCTTAATTAACCGTCTATTGTATTGAAAACTAATTTGAAATCTGTAAACTTGCCACACAAAGTCTTTTACGTGGCAAACAACCCTGCAGTGAATGTCATGAAGACAGCTAAATTTCATGGTTATCATTGATAATATCAGATTTTCTTCTGAATGAAATCAACTGTTCACTGAGAGCAAGTATGTGGGATTGGGTTATCATACTCCAGTTTTCAGTGGTGATGCAAATCAGTCAGACAAATTACGAAAACCCAGCTTTTATGTTGAAAAGATTAATAACACGGACTCCTGTACTGTATACTACAGGAAACGTAGAAGAAAAAAAACGTTTTGCAGCTACGTTTCTGGGAGTAATTCTGTAGTTCGAAATCGACTACCCTGCAAAGATTTTTTTGTCATACTTTTATACTTACTTACAAGTAGCACAAATTAAATGTTAGAAAACTTTGGATTGCATTATTCTTTCAGTTTAAAGGTTAATGATCAAACAGCAGAAAAGTAGCATTTATGTGTCATCTAGAGTTTATCCAAGTATTCAGTAATTCTGGTACACGAACGAAAGAGAAATCACAGAACGGTGGCTGTCATACCGCAATGACCCAATGGTTAGCGCTTTGGCGATTCAAGCTATAAGCACTGGGGTCACGTCCCAGTGGGAACGCCATAACTCACTGAAGTGAAGGTAAATCCAGGTGGAGTCCTAAACAGGATAAAACGCACGTCCCAGATCCCACTGAAAGCCATCAAACAGACAGAAGCAGAAGTCAGTTTGCATGCAATTTAATCTTAAGTTCCATAATTTCCGGTGTAACTGTTATAACAGAGACAATGTCTAACTGAAATAAAAGTGGATCGGAAAACATATCTTTTTCAATGACAATTTTGCATTTCATCACCTACACGTTTTAGCTGCTAAGTTTTACTATTATGATCACGATAACCATAATTATCCAAATTTCTTTCTTACTGATTTTTTTTGACTGAGTATGTTACTGAATTAGGAATACGTGGATCATTATTTACGCTTTTTCGTTTTCTACTTCGTCTTCACTATAACAATGACGTATTTTATGTGGAAATACGAAAGAATAATTGAATTCTTCGTACACATTTTCCCTCTAGAAAGTCCGCAATTGAAGTCAGCTGATTTTGATTGTATTATATCAAGTAAATTGGTTCATTCATCCTGAAAAATTATCATTCAAATATTCTTCACTTTCATAGAGGCTATCATTAATTTCAAAAGGTTTATATAGATTGGGTAAATGTTTGATACTTGCTCAGAATTCTCCTAACTTTTGTACTGAATGATGGAAAGTTCAGTGTCAGGCCAGATGTACTGATTAACAATCCCTTCTTATGAAGTCATATGGCCTGTCAGTAGGAATTCGACTTTCAAGTATCATAGTTCAAAGGTTACTGAATAAATATCAGGCTCATCTTGTGCTTATTTACTGATATCAGGTTGGTATCCACACCAGGCCACCACCAACTGAAGAATTTTTTATAAACCTGGGGCACTGGACAGTCGTCTCGTCTTAGTATGGCTCCTCAGCATTACGCACCTGTGACCCCACCAGGAATCGAACCCATGACCTTTGGATTCCACAGCCAGCACCTCATCATTGAGCCAGTGGGTTGTTGAGGTAAGTGTCTGTTTGCATTCACATGCATTTGGTTTAATGTAGAACTTTCGGATACCGATAAACTTCCAAATTCCGTTTCCTAATGTTCATGTTAAATTTTGTAGGAACATATCCAAATTGTCCCCCGATAATAAATACTGAACCGTTATACTTTATTTCGCATAGTTAACAGAGTCGGTGGGTGTTACAGATATGGCTCATGCGTCATGAAAGTAACAGTATAATTGCTTTATTCCGAATCATAATTCTGTTTACAGAATAGAATTAACAGCATATGATATTGCATAAGTTTACCCGTTGTACAACATATTTTAAATTTATACTATCAATGGTGTCGTTTATCTACATATAATAAAGAATGACAGGATTGTTGGAATGCGAAATGACTTCAGGATCCTAATAAATGCTCCCTATTGCAAAGTTGATTGATAAGACTATGTCTAACGTGATTTGCTTCACATAATCCACAAATTTAGTAAGGTATCATTGAATTTTTGTGTAAATCTGCACGTACCTAAAGTTTAACATATTTCCTTCTTGTCTTTCCAGAGGACAGATATAGAGTGAGGTGCCGATACAGAGGATGCTTATCATCAGATAAAATATTTTTAATCACTAGTCTATAGGAGTTCAGATGCCTACCCACGACCTCATTTATCAGAACGGTTAGTAGTATACCATTTGATTTACTAACAGCCTTCAAATGCTACTCAATACGGTGTAGTTTTTTTCCGAAGTCCAGGAAAGAATAAGGCGAAATAATAATAAGGTATAGGCAAAAAAACACAGGGATTATTGAAATGTAGGAGTAAAGATAGAGTTATGCCGGACAGATAGAGTTTCCTCGTATCAAACGTCAACGAAGGGATTTTTCTGGAAATCACTAAGATATGAGGGAGCCAAGAATAGTAAAAAGAAAAGCATAAGCCAAGATGGATCACTCTTGATGCATTCTCTACAAACGAGCCATTTAAAAGACGAGAGTCATAGGATTGAAGCAATTTAAAAAGGTCTTGTTCATGTCTTCAGCTAAAGTTAACCATTTGACACTTGAATATCTTTTAAGGAAAGCCAGTGACCAATTTCAGTTAAGTTATTAAACTGAGAACACTCTAAAGAGGAGGTGATAGGAGTAGACACTGTTAGATCATCTGCATACTTAACAAAGTTAGCTGTAGTTGAGGTGGGTAGGTCACGAAAAGAGAAAGAGAAAAGCAGAAGAGAAAAACTGCATCCTGAGACACGCCGGCTTCAATAAGTAGAATCACAGTCATATGGACTCAGTCATATTTTCAACAGATTTATAGGAGCCAGTCCGCGCCTATTTAATTATAAGTAAAACCTATGATTTCTTTACATATGGTACATTCGGATCTATTTTACCATATTACTTAAGTCAACATAAAAACCAAGTGGACTGTCTGAACTATGATTTTGGCTAGTACCATTAAATAGTGGATAACTTCAGTATTATTTTTGTGAGGTTTAGTGGTCCTAGGCCATATTGCACAAATGGTCACGCGTGTTTACTGGCTCATGGTTCTAAAATAGATATAAACAGCCACTTGGTTACCCTTACTTTCCTGATGGTTTTCTAATTGAAGAAAACTGCTGTAAAATCAATCACTTTGTAACCCACTTCCCATCTGAATAGTGTAACATAGTTACTGTTT